ACCCCCAAATGTATGTGTGTGTGTGTGTGTGTGTGTGTGTGTGTGTGTGTGTGTGTGTGTGTGTGTGTGTGTGTGTGTGTGTGTGTGTGTGTGTGTGTGTGTGTGTGTGTGTGTGTGTGTGTAGACCCCTTTATGACCTCCAGGTGCCTATCGACCCCTTGGATCGTCCCATCGACCACTTTAAAAACCTTTGCCTTAAACGAATCATAACCGTTTCCCCTTTAACCCATTTACACTCTCGAGGATTAACACATGCTCAAAAAAAAATAATAATAAAACCCGGTTTATATATGACGCAGAGAAGCCTACTGGGGAAAAAGATATATGTATATATATATTTTTTAAATATTGTATTCACTCTGGTGGGTCTTTTCACCTAGAATAATTTTTTTTATCTATATACCGCGGGGGAAAGAAAAAAAAAAGGTAGATGAAATGTTATTTTTTCCATCCTTGTTTTTTCTGCAACGAAACAATATTCTAAATCAGTAAAATGTAAAAAGAAAAAATAAATAAGAAAAAAAAGAAAAAACAGGAAAAGAAAAGAATAAAAAAAATATTGCTTTCGTCTGTGCTTGAAATCCATAGACTTTATATTCTTATATTCGCCTTTATATACTGATGGCATCTAGCCTGTTATTCCGATGAACTTCAGCTGAAATGATGATTAATAATATACCAATAGATTAAAGCCGGAACGTCGGTATGGATTGAAAGCGGCTTCATGGGATGGCAATATTAGTGCTAAAGCTTAGCGGTTTGTGCTATTTAGACCTGCTCGGTTATTATCAGTTTTAATTTATTATGTTATGTTTCTGTGTTTGGCGGTGGTTTAATGGTTTTTTTTTATGTCCTTTAGTTATTGTTGGTTTGTAATTGTTTATTTTATGATGATGAGGATGACGACAAGATTTTGATGATGATGATAATGTGATGACGATGATGATGATGATGATTATCATCATCATCATCATCATTATCATCATCATCATCATCATCATCATCATCATCATCATCATCATCATCATCATCATCATCATCATCATCATCATCATCATCATGTGATGATAATGATAACAATGACGATGGTGATGATAATAATAAATATAAAGAGAATAGAAATATAAAATTTAAAAAATGCAATAATGATGGATGAAAAATATTTTTGAGCATTATTTTCTTACTGTATTTACGATAATGTGCAGCGTACTTTTGACTGAGTTTGTCGATAACTTCTCTCTTATACTAATGTCTACTGATTATTAATACATTACGCAATAATAGATGCTATCACTCATTCAAACGGATTAGCATCCGTACGATTAATCAAACAAGCATATCCTCAATTGTGAACTGCAAACACCAGAAGAGTGACGGGCATGTGGCGAGGTAGAACTGAGTGAAGGAATTGGCAGTACATCAATTCCATTAACGATGATTATAATAATAATAGTAATGATGATTATGATGATGATAATAGTAATGATGATAATGATGATGATAATAGTAATGATGATAATGATGATGATAATAGTAATGATGATAATGATAATATTGATAGTAACGATGATAATGATGGTAATGATAGTAATGATGATAATGATAATGATAATAGTAATGATGATAATGATGACAATAATAGTAATGATGATAATGATGATGATAATAGTAATGATGATAATAATGATGATAATAGTAATGATGATAATGATAATATTGATAGTAACGATGATAATGATGGTAATGATAGTAATGATGATAATGATAATGATAATAGTAATGATGATAATGATGACAATAATAGTAATGATGATAATGATGATGATAATAGTAATGATGATAATGATAATATTGATAGTAACGATGATAAAATGGTAATGCTGATAATGATAATAATAATAGTAATGCTGATAATGATACTATTGATAGTAATGATCACAATGATAATAATAATGGTAATACTGATAATGATAAGGATAACAGTAATGATGATAATGATAAAGATAATAGTAATGATGATAATGATAATAATAGTAATGATGATAATGATAATAATAAAAGTAATGCTGATAATGATAATAATAAAAGTAATGCTGATAATGATAATAATAATAGTAATGATGACAATGATAATGATAGTAATGATGATAATGATAATGATAATAGTAATAATGATAATGACAATAATAATAGTAATGATGATAATGATAATGATAGTAATGATGATAATGATAATGATAATAGTAATAATGATAATGACAATAATAATAGTAATGATGATAATGATAACAATAATAGTAATGATGATAATGATTGTGATGATAGTAATGTAGATAGATACAATAATAACAGTAATGCTAATAATGATAATAATAATAGTAACGCTGATAATGATAATGATAATAATAGTAATAATGATAATGATGATAATGATAGTAATGCTGATAATGATAATAATAATAATAATGCAGATAATGATAATAATAATAGTAATGATGATCATGATTATGGTATTGATAATGATAATGATGTAAGTAATAATGATAATGATAATGATAACGTTAGTTAGAATAGTATTATTGTAATTGTTGTAAGGAATAACAATGTAAACAATGAGAAATGATAATGATGATTATCATAAACATGTTAATAATGATGATTATAGTAAACATGATTATGATAATGATAATAATGATATTAATAGTGATAATTGTAATAGCAGTAGTAATGATATTACTAATGATAATAACGATAATAATAATGAGAAGAAGTAATGTATAATGATAAGCATTAATAATGATCATAATAATAAGGATGATAAGGATAATGACAGTAATAATGATAATCAGAATAATGATAATAATGATAATAAGAATAACACTACTATCATACTGCTATAATAATGAAAATGTTGATCGTAATAATAATTGTTGACATTGATATTTTTATCATCATTATTTTTATCATAATTATCATTAGACTTATTACTATTATTATCATTAGTACTATTATTATTATTATTATCATTATTATTATCATTATTATCATTATTATCATTATCATTACTATTATAATTTTCTTATTCTTATTCTTATTCTTATGATTGTAGTTATATATGCAATTGAAATCATTAATACAAAGATAAGGATAAGGACAAAGATAAAGATAATGAGAAGGAGAAAAGTAGCAATATTACTGATTATAGTAAAAATATGTATAAGGTCGGAGGTCGTACCTTAATAACGCTCCTTCTGTCGGACATTTTTTCCCCTTTTTCGGTAGATGTGGGAGGAAATTTTACCAATTTGTTCAGCAAATTAAAGGCCTGCCCCCCCCCCCCCCCAGCTGAAAGTGATAATTCAAACACTGATCGGCTAATCCAGAAATTAGTATATAAAAAAATATGGATGAGAGAGAGAGAGAGAGAGAGAGAGAGAGAGAGAGAGAGAGAGAGAGAGAGAGAGAGAAGGAGGGAGAGAGAGTGAAAGAGAGAGAGAGAGAGAGAGAGAGACAGACAGACAGAGACAGAAAGACAGAGGCAGAGACAGAGAGAGAGGGGAAGAAGAAAGAAAGGCAAAGGGGGTGAGGGAGGAAATAAGGGAGAGGGAGGAAAAAGACAAGAGTGAGTGCACTTGGCAGCTACCCATTAAATTAATTTCTGAGACAACATATTTCTTTTAAGAGAGAAAGAATGGTGTGGGGGAGGGGGGGGACGAGAGAGAGAGCGAGCGAGAGAGAGAGAGAGAGAGAGAGAGAGAGAGAGAGAGAGAGAGAGAGAGAGAGGAAAAGAGAGAGACAGAGCAAGCGAGCAAGAGAGAAAGAGAGAGAGAGAGCTAGAGAGAGAGAGAGAGAGAGAGAGAGAGAGAGAGAGAGAGAGAGAGGAAAAGAGAGAGAGAGAGAGAGAGGAAAAGAGAGAGAGAGAGAGAGAGCAAGTGAGCAAGAGTGAAAGAGAGAGAGAGAGCTAAAGAGAGAGAGAGAGAGAGAGAGCAAGCGAGCAAGAGAGAGAGAGAGAAAGCAAAAAACAGCGACTGACCTGTATTAATTTCTGAATTATTTTTTTTTTTTTTTTTTTGAGATATATACATATAAATATAATTTTCTGTGGGTGTACCCTTTACTGAATATTACAATGCGACATTTACTGGAATTTGATCTTTTAAATAACGCCCGTGTTTGACGTATCAGGATACTAATCCTGTTGTAAAAAATAATTATAATATCTATTTTTTTATGAACAATAAATTAAAAGTCTGTTCAATGCGTGATATTAGTTGAGATGATAATCATGATCATTATTTTTTCCTTTACATTGAGTTACCTGGAAATTACAGATTTATTTTTGGATTTTTTAAGATCTAAATTTCAACTAACAATACTTTTGTAGCAAAAACTTAATTTATATGTACATACACACAGGTATTCACGGATTCAGACACATACGCACACAGATTAAGACACACACACAAACACACACACACATATATACTATAATATTCATTACTTAATCTGCGAATTAATTACTGAGCCTCTTGTAAACTCAAGGAAATTGACATTGATTCTCATAAATAAAAACTGTTCTAATGGGAAGACGTTACCTCTCTTTCTCTCTTTCCCTCTCTCTCTCTCTCTCTCTCTCTTTACTTCTCTATCTCTCTATTTCTTTTTCTCTCTATTTCTCTCTCTCTCTCTCTCTCTCTCTCTCTCCCTCTCTCTCTCTCTCTCTCTCTCTCTCTCTCTCTCTCTCTCTCTCTCTCTCTCTCTCTCTCTCACTCTCTCTCTTTCTCTCTTTCTCTCTATTTCTCTATCTCTCTATTTTTTTTCTCTTTCTATTTCTCTCTCTCTCTCTCTCTCTCTCTCTCTCTCTCTCTCTCTCTCTCTCTCTCTCTCTCTCTCTCACACACACACACACACACACACACACACACACACACACACACACAAACATACAGAGAGAGAGAGAGAAAGAGGCCGATGTATTTAAATTGAAAAACAAATAGACA